AATTAAAAAAAAAACAAAGAAAAAAAAAAGTGAGAAAATGAAAAAAAAATTCTCCCTCTGAAAATGGCGCGAGCGGGGGGCTGTTCCTCTCGGAGCGGCGCAAGTTCTGGAAACAGAGACACTCACTCAGTGTACAAAAAAAGAAAGAAAAAAAAAAAAAAAACAGATACATGGCCTCGCTGCACTACTCTCGAAATGTGCAAAACGAGAGTGAATCTTCCGCTAGATTATGGAAAGATACAACCCCAAGATTTTTGTCTTTTGTGCATGTCGAGAGCAATGCAGCGAGGCCCACAGCGCTGTGCTGACGCCTCATCCTACGCCGTCAGATTCTCTTGGGACATGGAAATACAGGGCCACGCTCCATTACTCTCTACATGTGCAAAACGAGAGTGAATCTTCCGCTAGAACACGGAAAGATACACTGCTATGATTTTTGTCTTTTGTGCATGTTGGAGCGAGGCCCATACTAAAGCTTCGTGGCCCTTTTGTTTTTTTTTTTTGTTTTTTTTTTTAAATTGAGAAATTGTCCAAAAAAAAGAAAGATCCACTGCCACGATTTGTCTTTTGCGGTTGCTGCTGACAGTGCAAAGTGTTGGAGCGTTCATCCTACGAGATTTGCAATGGCCCACGGTGAACTCTTGTCCAGATTACGAAAATGGGAATGAATTTTACACTGGAACATGGAAGGATACAGAGAAGATCAACATGGCCCTGCTGAAGAATGATGACTTCTGGCAATAGAGCCATTTACGGCTCTCTGACTACGAGTCCGCCATCCGTGCCTTCGCCTGCTCCTCTGGCAGGAGCAGCCACCCTATGGGGAAAAAGAAAACGTAGGACAGAAAAAGGAAGAAGGAAAAAAAAAAAAAAAAAAAACAAGGGAGGGAAAAAAAACGAAATAACCAGCACAGAAGTACCGGGCGCCAGCATTGAAGGACCGGTCAGCCCTATATCACGACCACTTGCAAGCTGCATTCCCATAAGACGAAGAGGTTCGGTAGCTTGCCAACAACAAGGTTTGGGAAGACTGCTTCGGGGGTACTGGTGGTTTAATAAACGCGTTTCGTTTTGCACATGCGGCACTTCCCACTTACCTGGGTGCCACGTCAGCACCTGACAGCAGACAGCAGATTGCATTGAAGAAGTAAGCTCTGATACCAAATTGTAATGAACCCAGTCTGGCAGATGCTCACCAATCTTCAAATACCAGTAGAGTCAATATCTGCAGCAAAGTCTCCAATAAACGTGAAGTGATATCCCAAACAGTATCTCATTACCATTAGACGAGGAGAGTGGAGGGGGATTAGACAGAGGAGAAGGTTGAAGAGATGATCAAAGATCACACAAGAGTAATCCCATCAAGACCCCACTCCTTCTCCGGGCTTCTTCCCTTTGCACATCAACAACCAAAATATGATAACAAGTATAATAATCCTGATCACACAGTAGTGCCACGTGGCACTCTTATCTTATGAAGACCATGAAGACACAGCAGATTAAATGACGACGTCAACCTCAGGTGAGTACCCGATCCCAATCTTCCACAGGTCCCGATCTTCCTCCTTCTCGCAACCAGTCACCTAATGTAAACAGCGTGGACAATGCCAAGTCACCAGTCAAGACAGGTGGCATGCGCCACATCAGCAATGTAGACTAGTGGCAGGTGCTGCATCAACATGCAATGTAGTCCAGGGGTGGTGCCACATCAGCATGCAATGTAGACCAGAGGCAGTGCCACATAGACCAGATGTAGCGCCACATCGGCATGCAATGTAGACCAGAGGCAGCACCACATAGATCAGAGGTAGCGCCTCATCAGCATGCAATGTAGACCAGAGGCAGCGCCATATAGACCAGAGGCAGCGCCACATCAGCATGCCTGGCGCACAATGCAGAACACGCCAGCATGTCGCCACAGTCCCTGTCGTCGTCCGCAGTGCTAGCGTACAGCCAGCGTCGAGCCAGCACTTCGCCAGCGCAGTCAAAGTCAAGCCAGCGTTCAAGCAGCATAGCAAGACTGAATGCTTGACCAACTCGAGGCCAGCCTTAAGTAGCATTTGTCGAGGTTGTCTGGCCTCGGTTGTATTTCCCACAGTCGTCCAGATTGACTCACAGCCGAGGGCCTGGATTGTACAGTTGCAGACTTTCCCCTTAGACCTGATGCTGTCTGGGTACCTACATACAAACAAATGTGTGTGTCCGACCGGCGGCCTGGGCTGGGTACACTTTGACATTGACTGTTGGAATTTCCGACAGTTGACTTTTGTCAACTTTGCCTCGTCCAGGCCCTGAATCTTTTCCTGGGGTCTTTTCCCTCGTTTTGGCCTGGGTCTGGGTGTGGCCTGGCGAGGCCCTCTGTTTCCACGAGGCATACTATATGGGTTATTGCAGGTCCATAGGATGCGGTGCAATCCTTTTTTTTTTTTTTTTTTTTGGCCCTTTGTCAAAGAAAAGAAGAAGAAGAAAAAAAAAAAGGATGCAGTTTAATCTACCATCCACGATGCAGTGCAATCTACAATGTTGAAGCGTTGGCTAATTTTCAGAGGTCCACATTGCTGGACCACTGCAATCTTTTTTTTTTTTTTTTTTTAACAATAATCTAGACCAGACATGTTCCTTCTTCTTTTTTTTTTTTTTGAAGTCCAGGTTGTTGTAAAGGCTGGCTGCTAGGCATATGACAAGCCTGCCAGCACCTGACCATTTGATCATCCCGATGTGTTGCCTAACTGGTCCCCTATGAGACACCCTCCCACCCTTACTCATCATCACGATCCCCGGCGCATTCTGCTCCCAAGGTCCTACCTGACTATACCCAGGATCATCACCCATTCTAGTGATGTTTGACCGGACAGCGGTTATAGGCATCAGGACTAAGCAGGTTCTCACCTCCCCCCCCAGCCCTGATTGAAGCACTAGAGCCAATTCATACCAGGCACTTCGAGCGCTAGGGGTAAGCATGCCACTACAAGTCCCATAGACGAACCCTAGTTTTTCCTGTTTTTTAAAGAGAGATCCTAGCCTCACCATCCGCTCCGCATACCTCTATGATGCTCTATCATCAACTGGATGTCGAGGCATTTTATAGCATCCCCCAGAGTAACTCCAGTTTCCATCCTAAGTGGGTTCACTGCCACCATCTGCTCCCACAACCTCTATCATCAACGGGAGCTACTCTGGGCTATTCTAATCTGACAGTATTCTCCATGCAGGTAACAGACCACATCATACTGAAGATTGCAAAAGCGCCAGCACATATGGAATAGTTGACTTCAAAGTGACTTATCTTTTTTTTATATAAAAGGGCTGCGACCTTGACATATCATCATTTGGCCGGCCCTAGGTCATTCAGAATTGCAGTATTTTACTCATCTGTTTCCAGTGCAGTTCAAACTCAGGTCTGTATTTCACCAGTTCAGTGGTGTACCAACTGAAGCCAGTTTGTACTTCAGAGCGAGTTATGTTTTTCCGCAGATGGCGAGTTTGTGTCACTTCTGAAAATTCGACTGCGCCAGAGTTGAACGTTGCCTGTTTCTCTTTGCTCTCTTTGACTCATCCGATTTCGGGTTTAAACATGACCATGAATAAGTAGCGGAGGTCCGGATACTCGATGCACCTGGTCCCAGGTGAGGAATTGCCAAAGCGATTGACAGACTGATTTCCAGACGGTGATTGACTGTGTTTAACTCTATAATTGACTCAAATGAATAAGCTGGTTGACTGGCTGGCTACGCTTTCAAGCGGAATTGACCAAGTGAATGAAAGACTGATTACCAAATATGGATTTCCCAAAGGTCAAATATGATCTGATTCATCCCGAATAGGTGTAAGTACTCAAATAAAAACAGCTTCGCTGGTTGCCGTGGACCAAGAGGAAACATTACGAAGTGCTGGTTCGTCTGCCAGTCACTGGTGTATGGTTCCGCTTTTGTACACAATGTTGTGGCTGTGGTAGTTACGAGACTCAGCTCTTGTGGACAAGGGCGCTGGTACGAATCCGTTCTGAGGCCCCTGAAAGGACTGATCAGAAAACCACTGCCTGAGAGAATGACTAAGTGATTGCCAGAAGCAGTAACTGACTATGTTTGGCTAACAATTATGAACAGGAATGAGTGGTGCTGGACTGAGTGATAGACTGCCTGGCTGGTTGATTGGCATGACACTAATGTCCGTAAGTTTATGGTTGTAGCCCAGTGATCGTTCCGCAGCCAGATGGATTCGAACCGGTGACATCCGTTATAACAGCCGGATGCCTTTACCACTGAAACACCCGGTGTTTGAAGCCCTGGTTGTGCCATTCAGCCCACCCCAGCATCATTGCAGCAAGGACTTACTTCGTCAACGCACGACATGGATGAGATCCTCCGCAGGCAACCGCAACCAAACAGAATCCAATATTCCCTCCGCAGTTGCCAGAATCCCATACACGAGAATCCAGGTGACCCTCCCCTGGCTGGTTAATGGGTTCGTACATTTACACTGTCAGTACGTTTATCATTGTAGCCCAGTGATTGTTCCGCAGCGAGACGGAATCGAAACGGTGACCTCCGCTAGTCCAACTGATGTACTGGGTAGTAGGGATAGACTGTGCACATCACAAGTGTGTTTCGCACAGCTGACGGAGCATCTGTTTTTTGTTTTGTTTTTTAAAAACAAAGGCTCTGATCTATTCGTGAGGAACAGCACGTGCTGGGAACAGGGCCCAGCGTCCCATATACAAGTGAACAAGTGTGCAAGATGCCGGGGCCGTTTCGGCTAAAGAAAGGACTAAGAAATGCTTGATTTGCCACTCTCTGAGGGCCCCAAGGAGCCATCTTGTGAATCTTTTAAGTACATAGGTGGGGTTGCAGTCGTGGTCCCTCCGGGGCGCACACAGCTGACATAGCATCTCGTATAGTGAATTCCCTTACGAAGCTTAGCTGAAAAGATTCGCTGAGCGGGTTTGTTCCCTCCGGTGTACTGGTGGTTTAATGCCTGGTTACACTGTTGCACATTGACAGGAATTGTAGCAACAACAGACATCTTACACGGGGCGGCTGGCGTGAAGGTGGCAGTGATGCTTGGCGGGTTTCCTCGGAAAGAAGGCATGGAGCGCAAGGACGTGATGGCCAAGAATGTCACAATCTATAAAACCCAGGCCACTGCATTGGAGGCGCACGCTGACAACGACGTGAAGGTAATATGATGCCTTTGCAGAGCACGGAGGGGGTCAAACATGTCCAAATGTTTGGTACAGTGTACAGGATATTTGGCATTGCATTTCTGCTCTAAGGGCCTACTCACAGCAGGAATTCCTAGACTGAGCTCTGAGTGTACTTGCTGTCAGATACATCCAGGTCAGGCTGTAATTGAGGTCACGTAGGGCATATGGACTCTGGTTTGCAATTTTCTTTTTACTTTTTTTTTTTTTTAAGAAAAAAAAGAGAAAAAAGAGAAAGAAAAGAAAAAGTCTTGAGATATATCCACAGGTGACCGCAGGTAATCCAGAGTCATTATTGTTGTTTCATAGGGTTATTATTGTCCCAATTGTCCAGAGTACTATGTTACCAGTGTGGCCAGGGACAACCTGTCCGGCTGGGCCCATACGGTACTAAAAAAAAACAATATTCATTAATTTATTTTTATTTTTATTTTTAATTTGCCTTTGTTTTTTTTTGTTATTTTAACCACTAGTACCTTTGACGGTTGGGAAAATAGGGATCCTCGGGCGGGCCTCCGATTTTTTGGGAGGCCGAAACAAAACGACAGCAGCCGATGAGATTTATCAATGGCGGCCGTCATCGGGCCCAACCCCCGACTTTTTAGTAGTCAAGGAAAACTGCCAGTTTTCCATATTTTCCCAACGGTCGAAGGTACTACAGTCTTCCCCCGAATACAACGCACGGTCATTATAGCTGAATTTGGGCTATCTTTCAGTCTAAATTCAGCTATAATGACCGTGCGTTGTATTCGGGGGAAGACTGTAGTGGAAAGCCCAACCCCCGACTTTCTAGTAGCTAAGGAAAACTGCCAGTTTTCCCTATTTTCCCAACTGTCGAAGGTACTAGTGGAAAGCAACTTTCCATTATTAAACCAGGAAACAGCCCGGAGTCCCTCACATGAATCCTGCAGCCGAACGGGGATGGGAAAGGCACTCCCGGCCAATCCCATTCCCAACTATGGTCAGTTGCCTAAACATTGCCAATCCTACGGTTTCCTACCCAATATTTACATGCAGCTAATACTACAGCGACTGAGACTACTGACTCAACATCTGAGACAACTAGGATCACTAATATGAGGGCAATGTCTCGTACTAATTTGGCAAAAATTTTTGATCCGAACCTGAGGCAAAAGTTGTTCAGTTTATTTTCCTGCACAACGTACGGTCGACCACACCTGATGGTACCCCGGGCACTCTGACTAATCCCTCCAGGTCACAGGGTAGCATATCAACCCAATGCCCAAGAGAAGGGGCAGAAGCCAGAATGGTAGCGCATCACCCCACCGCCCAACCAAAGGTTGCAGTGTAGTGCATCACTGGCATTGATTGACAAACACCTAATCTTAGCAGGAGATTGGAATGCAGTCCAAAGTGCAGATTATGGTAGAGTCCCTTACGCATTAGAACCTACGGTAGAAGCAACGAAAACGGCAGTACACGAAGTTATGAAGCAAAAATCCTATGTTACCAGCTGTCCGGCCAGATGTTTCCGCCGGACGTCCGGTACCCTGGTTGTCTGGGATCTCAGACAACCGATTTCCGGCGAATCTGGGCTGCAGAGATGTGATTTAAAAAATTGGGGGGGTCCATGCTCGGTGCGGGGACTTCGTGGCAAAAATTTGGGGCTGTTTTGATGGCCGAAAAAAATAGAACAAGTGGGTCAGGGGCAGGTTGGGGGGTCTGCTGCAGAAGATGCAGCACTGCAGCACTTGCAGCAGCGACACTTGCAGATGCTGTAGCCGGTGCATTAGCTGCAGGAGGTGCAGCAGGTCAGCAGCTGCATCAGCTGCAGCAGCCTCAGCAGTTTTTTTTTTTTTTTTAATAACAAAAAGCCCACCCTTATAAAATCTGTACGAGGCCGGGGACCTCACAATTCGACCCGGAAAATCTGGCAGCCAGCTTAGCTTACAGGCAAATGCCTGTGGACCTCCCACTTTGAGTTCCAATTACCATCTAGTTAAGTCATGTCTGAATTGAAGTGGACTTTTGCTTGAGGGTGCCATTATCAACTGGACAGAGTACGTGACAGTCTGTCTGCAGTCTGCTTACACGGCCAAATCTACATTCCCAAGTTAGATTAATCAAGGTACCCAAGAGCCTAGCTCAGTGGGTACACCCATGGACTGTTGAAAATACAGACCCGTGTTCAAATCCAGATGATGGAACTTGATGAGTAAAGTTGTAAAACCAACTATTTCTGACTTGCCTGGGGCCGGTCAGCTTCATGATGACTAGCTTAGCGCCCGCGGTGCGGGCGGTGCGGCCTACGCCCACAACCAAAAAGCGGGAAAGGACATGCCCACCGGGAAACGACATGCCCACCGGGAAACAAAAATAAAAAATAAAAAACGAAACAACAAACCGACACACCCACCGGGAAACAAAAAGAAAAAAAAAAACAAAAAGCGGGAAAAAAAAAGAGGAACGACACGCCGACCACGAAACAAAAAGAAAAGCAAAAACGAAAAGCGGGAAACGACAGGCCAAAAACGAAAATTCTAAAAGAAAAAAGGCCGCCCGCTTATCGATGACAGTGGCTTCAAGATATTCCCTCACATCTACGCCCACCGCCGCCCGGTCCCGTGGGCGAGCTCGCTCGTTTAATGGCGCACTGTGAACATTTCGGTACACGCGCCCCTCTGCACACTTCCCCGCCCTGGATCGCCTTCATCTGCCGGCCCTCCTCAAAACTTAGACCCCAAATCCGGCGCGCAGCGGACCATCGACCTCCCCCCCGCGGCCAATGCTGCTTAAGGGGTAGGATATCTCAAGGCCATCACCCTAAAAAAAAATAAAAAAAAAAAATAAAAAAAAATAAAGGTGAGAAATTGTGGTTCACCTTCTCTAGTATTATGGTTCAGGCTTTCTTTTTTTTTTTTGACTAAGATTAGATTAGATTAAGGTTAAGTTTTTTATTTTTTATTTTTTATTATTATTATTAAAGAAAGCCTGAACCATTATCAACTGGACAGAGTAAGTGACAGTCTGTCTGCAGTCTGCTTACAAGGCTAAATCTACATTCCCAAGTTACCAGGGGAGGCTGCTCATATCATCTCCTCTAGTATTATGGTTCAGGCTTAATCTAATTTAATCTTAGTCTGGGACTAACACGGCCCAGAGGACCTGAACAGGTCTGGGTCCTACTAACATTCAGCTAAAGGCCTACTGCGGCGCTAAGAAACCGAGTGTTCTGGTATGACGCTCTGCTAACCAGAACGTTCAACCCCTACTTATCATCTGCTAAGAAACATTGTTGACCCCCCTGGATTGTTCATCTCCAGTACCCATCTCGTGATCACCAGACCCTTGCTAGCATGCACCGTTTCCTGCTGCTGGTTCTTTGCCCAAGTGCGCCTGAACCATCCTATCTGGCTTCGAGACCCTTTCCCAGCTCTAGCTTTCCTCCTACAATCCACCAGGATGGCCTGCTTCAGGCCTTGCTTAACGAGACTCTTGATTTCCAGGTCTGATAACGGCTTTTTCTGAAAACGTGCTCTGTTCCTGTCCTTCCAGATTACCTCACAGATAAGTCCCCTGGTGACATGTGCTATATACCCCCAGCCTCAATGTCCTTTAGCGCTGGCAGGTAAGAACCCCAGCAGTGTCCACTTTTCATCCCAGGTTACTGACTGGTCTCCAAACTTCGACCAGTGGAACGACCAGCATTTCCAGATCCGTTTGGATGCTGGGCATTCCACCACAAATGGTTGGTGGATTCAAACGGCCATCTGCACCTTGAACAGCCCAAATCTACTACCATTCCCCTGCCCAACAGCCAAACTGCGGATGGTGTAATCACCAGGGATAACATCCAAAGTAGGCTCACCTGCTTCCCGTTAGGCAGGATTGTCAGCGTTTTCCATAGCCTCTCGAAGTCTGACCATGCCTGTGATAGATCTTCACCCCAGACTGCTTGCCATCTGGAGGTGGCAATCTGAGCAGGCGTTTTTAAACCAACAGCAGATCTCTAATATCCTTGTAAGACTGAGTACTCCAGCAGAGGCCTGTTTCTCTTCTTCTGAGCTGGGTGACCAGCTCCATGCCAGGGGATCAATGCACAGTTGACGAAGTGGTGATGTTCTGCCAATCCAGTAGGGGATTCTATTTGCTAGCGGTCCTCTCCGTCTCTCTACTACCCTGACCTGCATTGGGTTGTCCCAAATCTGGACTGTCACCTCGATGGTTCGAAGGGCCCTCGCTGCGCCAACGCTCGATTCTTCTGAAGCCCCTAGGCAAAATTTCCTTAACCTTCCACATGATATCTCCTTCCTCTCCCGTGTTTGAAATGTACCATGTTCTGACTGGGTCTACTCCCTCCGGTCCCAAGATACCCAACCAATCAGCTGGGATGGAGCCCATCACCAGTTGCTAGTGCTCCTCCATCTGTTGGAGTCCTCTGAGTGTTGGCTTCACTTCGCTCAGGGGTCTCCAGTCACCCAAAGAGATGGACCACAAATCATCTATCTTTACTATGCCTCGTCTCAGCCACGCTTGTCTAAACAACCCCGGGGAGCCGTCTGCCACGAGAGAGTTGTGCAGCTGGTCCTGGACAGCTGGATTGTCAAATATGAGCTGGTCAAAGACTTCTTCTTTTGTGGTGGGTGGTTTCTGTGTGTCCGGAGGATTCTGTTTCCACACCTTGCGGATTGCTTCCCAAAACATAGACTTGAACTTCTTCTTCCTGAAGGATGTCACACAAAAACAGGCCCATACATCCTTTGGCCTGCTCAGTCCCTATTCTCTCGTTAGGATCCTTTCTGCCAATGTCATCCATTGCTCCCTGGTGCTTGTCCTGACCACTTTGGCGAGCCATCCCCGAAGCTGTTCTTGGTTCTTGCGGGCTGGGTCTACTAGTCCGAGGCCCCCTTTTGATCTTGGGAAGGTAAGTGTGTCGAAGGCCAGCTTGGAGATGAAGCCTTCTGTCGCTAATGCCCTTGGCTTCCACAAGAATCTCGCCACTAGTCTTCTAATCA